CACACACACACACACACACACCCGCGCGCGCGCGCGCGCACACACACACACACACATACATACACCATCATACACTTAGCTGTTCAACATCTTTTCACAGCGTGACACACACACACACACACACACACACACACACACACACACACACACACACACACACATCCGACTCTATCCGAAAGAATGCGAGGAGTAAAGTGAGCGGAAAATACCTCCTATGTGAGGTAAAGTGAATCAAGGTGTCCACCTTCAGGGAGAGAGACAAGTGAATGGCCAACCAGGAAGGTTAATCCACTCCAAGCGGATCAAAGAACTCTGGGAAACCAATGAATGAGAGGAGGAAGGGAAACCAAAAAGCACAGATCATGTCTAGCCAAGGAGGACACTACTGAAGCGGGGGGACCGGAAAAGAGAAGAAGCAAAGGGAGAATTTCGGAATCACACGTCCGCAACACAACTGGCACATAAATACAAGACATCCCCCTGCTGGAACGTAGAAATCGGAACAGAAAGCGTCTGGAGTGGACACTTCCGCTCCATAGAAAGCCGTCGACGCCCTCAATGCCAATGACTACGAAATTCATGCGACTTTATCCACATACATAATAACGACCTTAAAGCAATCCCGTTTCAGCTCTGGCACCGTGGCACGGTGGCACCCGAACCTCAGGTTCTTTCGTGGTCACCAAGAGTGTCACAGGAGCTATCGCAGTTCCCGCTCTCTTCTCCATACAAAGGAAAGCCCAGACATGCCATACAGAGAGCAGACAGAGGTCATACAGAGGTGAATGACTCTCGACATTCGATCCAATCGCCAGCACACAGGCGGAATCAGTAAAGCAGACAAGGCTCACAAGGGTGACGAACTCTTCCCAAACGATTACAACCACCCAACGATTGCAACCTTAGAGAGAGAAGAGGAGGAGACAAGAACGAGAGCGAGGGGTGACGAAGGTTTGAGAAGAGGAGACATAAGAGAGGAGGGGGAGAAGAAGGTTTTGTATGTGCCCTTTTACGATTACCTTTGTTATCTCCCACGCACGCCCCGCCCGCCGAGGTAATAGCATCCATCCATCCGCTTATCTGCGGCGCAATCCAGGTCACCCTCTCTGTCGAAGTCGTCTATGTCCGCTTGATCACGCAGATGGTTGATACGCATACTCATTAGGAGCTCCCGCGGGGTCAGCAGCGCCATCACCATCCTCTGTTCCAGAGCCAACACGACGACTACGCCCATCACCAGCAAAATAGAGAGCCGGGGAGGACGCATTCCTTGCTTCCTGCAGCTCGGCCGGCGAGATCGCCCACTTTGTCCACTTCTAGACCGGCCTCTGGGCTCTACTTCCCCTCCCATCGTCATCACCATATTCGCACTTCGCATCACCGAAAACGTCCACTGAAAGGTCAAACCGCGGGGACGAAGTTTGGCAAGACTTACGCCCGTCAACGCCAACGCCAACGTTGAACACTTTTATGCAACACCGATTCGCTAGAAGACTTTACTGCCCGGCGCGGCGTCGTCTGCGTGGCGTGGCGCGGTGACTTTTCTAGACAGCCGCCCTAGCCTTTCCAGAAGTGCGATACAATGTACCCTTTGTCCTCCCAAACTTGGGTCGTACTTGTCACGCGCGGTGACTTTTCTAGACAGCCGCCCTAACCTTTCCAGAAATGCGACACAATGTACCCTTGTGACCCTTGTCCTCCCCAACTTCCTTCCTGCTTGTTATATACGGAGAATGAAGTCTCACAAGATCTGCCACAAGCGGCTTCACGCGGTAGCTCCTTTTTTTTTTTTTTTTTTTTTTT